GGCTCACACACGCAGAGCGGGTGTGCAGGCATGCCCACCCAACACCACGCGTGCAGACAGCAACATGCATGCACACGTGCACCAGGCACAGGCATGCATCGCCATGGGCACACACAGACACACAGAGAGCTACATGTGCACATGATGTGTGCAAACACGGGCATCTACACACTATGGGTGGACGAGGGCATGGGGAGTGCCATGCACACACACTGTGCGCACACATGTCACTGTGGGAATGGCAATGGGCTGCGCTGCATGCACACACACACACGCCGCGTGCACGCATGCATTACTGTGCAAACACAGGCGCACACAGAGAACATTGCACGTCTACACTTGTACCACTGTGCAAACACATTGGTGCACACACACTATGCCACATGCGTACATGCATCCCTGTGCACACGAGCACACATTGCACCAAGTACACACACCCTCCACACACACTGTATGCACTAAAAGCGCGCGCGTGCACGCACACAATGCTTCATGTATGCATACACCCCCCTGCACACACCCCCAGGTCATACATTTGAATGACTGTGCACCACAGCTGCACACCCCTCATCACACACAGCACCACGGACCCCCCAACACCACACATTGCATGAAGCAGGCACACAAGCGCACCCACTGCCACACGCACACATGGGAGACACAGGCACACACCAACAGAGACTGCAGACACATAGACACAGCACGCACACACCCTCACAGACACCGGAGCCGTGGGCACGCACACACATGCCTGCACACACAAGCACAGCGCGCTCCTCCCCCCCGTCTGCATGGGTCACTCTCAGCACACACAAGGGAGCAGTCCGAATCTGCAGTGGAGGTGGGTGCAGCCTGGGTGCCCTCTGGCCCTGCCCCTCTGCCTTCCCTGCATGTGCTCTGGGTGCTGAGCCCAGCTAACCAGCACCATTCCCCGCGCTCTGGGCCATCGGGTGGGCATGCCTGGCAGGTACAAGCCACCTCAAACACACCCATGTACATGCAAAAGGTGTACATGGACGCATGCGTAGGTGCAAACATGCACACAAATTGTATGAACGCCCGCACCACAGAGACTCACACACACCAACATGCACACATATGCACACCCAGGCACACACAAAGCCAGGGACGGGGGGAGGGAGCTGGAGAGGCCAGAGGTGCACAGCGGAGCAGAGCTGACACGTTTGCAGCTCAGCTTCCCAGTGTGGAGATGAAGGATGGCTGGAGACATCCCTGGGGATGCTGGCAGAGCTGGGCAGGAAGCACAATGCAGGCTGTAAAAGATACCCGCTGCCCACCCAGGAGCAGGGGGAAGGCTTGGTCGGGTCCCTCACTGAGCCGAGGCTCCATTTAAGCAACCCTGGCTGATGGATGACTGTGTCCATGGCACCTTAGAGGTGTCCCGAGCCTTGTCCCGATGGCAAACCCCACGGAGCCCCAGACTGGTGCAGGGTTGCAGGCTCTGGCATGTCCCTGCATGAGCAGTGGGACACAGGGGACAGCTAAGCCAGGGTGCAGAGGGTGCTGCGGGTGCTGGGCGTCAGGGTGCTGGGGGTGGCCACGCTGTTCCAAGATGCAGAGGTTCTCCCAGCATGGGGCACAGCCACCCTCGGTTCTCGCTCGCTGGCGCTGTGCCCGAGCAGGGGGCTGCGAGGCAGAGGAGGGGCTGGGAGCCCACGCATGCAAAATGGCTCCTGTTGGTCAGTTGCTGTGTGGTGTAGCGCAACCCTCACCCCCACACAGCCCCCAGCCTCTCCCCCCAGTGCCTGGTCCTGCCCCGAGACCCATGCCCACCCCTCATGTCAGCACGGCACTGGGCACCTCTGTGCAGGGCACTCCCCTCCTCCTGCCTCCCAGGGGACCTCCCCACACCCTTCCCTGGTAATTCCTCCCTTGTCCCACAGTACAATCTCCAAACCCTGCCCCAGCTAGCTCTGCACCCTCAGCTTGCTCCCACCCAATACCAGGCAGGATCTTCCCTTCTTCCCACCCTGCCCAGTCTCCACGTCCCCTTCCCCAGGCATGCTTCATCCTCCTCTCCCGACCCTCCAGCCTGGGCACAGAGCATGTCCCGGCGCTCAGGCAGATGCTTGGAGGAGGAAGAAGTGTTATTTCCTCCCAGACATCAAAGTCTTTGCACTGATTCACCCTAGTTGGAGATCTGTCACCAGCTGGGGACATTCCTTGTGCTGCAACAGGGCATTAGTGTAACAAAGGATCCCCAAGGAATTACCCAGCTCCTTCCTCCCCGTTTGACACAAAATAAGATCCTGCTGGAGACCAAAATCCCAGCCCTGTAATAACAGCAGGATCTTGCCGCGATCCTCCTTCCCCATTTCGGTATAACCCAGATCCCCTGTACCCTATTGCATCAGTGCGCTGAGGGCAGATCCTGGCTCCTGCCCCCCACCATCCCCCCGGCTTTCTCATTTCTCTGCATGCTCAGGGCCAGATGGCTGATTTGCTCCGTGGCTCTGCGCTCCTTCTCCTGCTCGGAGTCCCAGCTGACCACTTTGTTCGTAATAGTCCTCGGAGGGGAATTACAACCGAGTATTAAATGTGTGGTTAAAGAAATCGCATTACACAGTGTGACTGTAAGGGAGATGTTTCCCTTTAATCTGTAATCCATGAAAGTTATTAGTTTAGTGAGCGGAGTGGCTAGGCACAGCATTTCCATTAAGATATAACCCTGAGCAGACCCATCACCTCCGCGTAGGCTGCAGCCCAGGCACCCCTCCTCCCCGGTGCAGTCCTTGCTTCGCTGCTCCTGAGTATTTGAATGCTGTTATTGTGTTAATGTGGGGCTGTTTTAACATTGCAGAAAAGAAAAGGAAAAAGAAAAAATCACATTCCATGGACGATGTGCTCCTGTGAAATAATGTTTGTGTCGTGTATCCTGTCCTACAGGTCTATGCAATATTAGTTAGTCACCCTCCTGCTCCCAACGATCACCTAACACCAACACCCGTATCATACACAGCTGGCTTCTACAGGATCCCTGTCATTGGTCTGACAACACGCATGTCTATATATTCCGATAAGGTAACTGATGCATGTTTCTAGTCTAGTACCTCATACATGTGGTGTAAACCAAGAGTGCCCGTCAGGAGGGTTAATGATGTCTACACTACCCTGCCTATCTATGTATCTGTCTGTCCATCCATCCTCTCCAGTTAAACCTGCAGCTCCCCCTCTCTCTCCCCCACATTTCCCAGTACATTATTTTTTCACAGCTGCCAGTGTTGACCTACATAGTGCTGGATGATTTCTGCAGCGTTTCTCTGCCAGGCTGCTGGGCTCGCTGCTTTTCAGCCAAGGCAAATGCACAAACTAGCTCCTGCCTTGCTCACTAGTGGCATATATAGATAACCTGGGTGCTGGGCCCTGGGTGCTCGCTGGGTGCGGGGGGGGCCTGCGGAGAGGCAGGAGTATCCTAGTGCAGCCTGTACATCGGGCAGGAGCTCTCTGGGGCTTGAAGGTTGTACGGTTGCATTCGGTTCTCTGGGTTTATGTGATATTGGTAGGCGAGATAACAGAATTGATTAACAAGTTATCCCAAGGCTTTAAATGACATTCAGCACTCAAGAAAGATGTTCAAATTCCAGTGTCTCAAACCACTATCTGCTGTCCCTGTGGAGACTTTTGGGCTGGGTAAGGTCCTGCTGTGTGCAGGGCCTGGGGGCAATGCCCTGGCCTGGGCGATGAGATGCTGCCGTGGCCGGCTCCTTCACTGGCTGCTCAGCTCACAACTCATCTTGCAAAGACACTTTGGGATTAGTAAAAGCAAAAGGAGGAGCTGAGCAGAGCCAGGTGGACCACAAGCTACTGCAGCCTTGGTGGAGGTTTTTGTCCAGGTGCACGAGCTTAGTGGGTGAGATCAGGCCTGTTTTGAAGGATGAATTGGCCTTTGCTTGGAAAATGTGAATATTCACAAATGCAAATGTTCAGTGCAAAAATAGTCACTCCGCCTACATTCTAAATAAAGTCAAATTTCAGGAGGGAGGAGCAGAGGCTCCCAGAGATGCAGCCCGCAGGACCGCTCAGCTGGAGCAGCAGCAGGTCTTGGCATCTCCCACGAAGTAAATCCATGGTAGGAGAACTGGCAAGACAAGACCATGACAGTGAGAGCAATGCTGGCTGCTGGGGGCCCGCACGCCCCGGCAGGGTCCTGCCAGTCACCGTTAGAAGAAAAGGGATGGTAACAGAGCTGGCAGAGTGAGGGACAGGGTAGGCAGCAGGTAGGAAATGTGCAGGGGAAATTTGGTATGTGCTACCATGGGGAGGAGACAGATCTGATCAGCAGTGTCACCGAGAGGGACCTTGTCACAGTGCACATGATGGCGGGGAGAGGAGACCCTGCATGCTGTCAGTCCAGTGTTGTCTCAGCAGAGCCATGCTCACTGAAGCAAAGTGGCCGCCTTTTCCACAGCACGACCTTGTGCTGAATTTGTGTGCTCACCCTGAGGGGGTGGGAGCTTCCCCGGCAGGCTCTGCTCCAGCCATTTTTTTTCCTATTTAAACATGTTTTCTGCAAAAGTGGCTCATAAAAACCACCTGGCTCACTTCAGAGCTGGAGGAGTGACCCACTGCGGCAGTGGCAACCCACTGCAGTGGCAGGGAGATGCTCCCCACCGAATATTTGGGGGTGCTGGGCAGGGGCAGGGCTGTGGGGTGCACTCGGCTGGCGGAGGCCACACTGCATGTCTCACCCCTCCGAGCACTCCTGCCTGGCTGGCCTCGTGCTCAGGCTCTTCCCACCACGGCTTCCAGGGGCTGGAGGACTTTAAGGTCTATGCAGAGAGGGGAGTTGCAGGCAGGAGATGGGGCAAAGGCAGGGACTGGGTGGATAGAGGAGCAAGGACGTTGAATAGTTGACTGGCAGGAGCTGGAGGGGACAGCAAAGCTGGGAGTGCGGTGGAAGACAGCGGAGCAAAGGGTATGGAAGGCATGGGACGGGACGGTGCAAGGCTCTGCACACCCTTGGAGGACAGGCTGGTTGGTGCAACACGGGGACGTTCAGCTGGTTCCCTTTTTGGTTTCCAGTGATCAGCTTGCTTTTTTTTTTTAATTCAGGAAATTATATCTTTCAGCTTAGTTTCTATGGAAACAAGCTTGTAAGATCACTTTGTGTGTATGCCCCTGATTGGTTTTGAAGGCATCAGCCAATTTTAGCTAAATTTCACAGGGGGCTGAAGTCTCACAGTTAATTATGGTCCTCTCAAGGCTAAGCTGCCAGGGATAGAAAAGACGTGGGCCTCAGCACAGACAGGTTTGCCCAGTACCTTTTGATGCTCTTGGAGCATCTCCAGTCAAGCACAGCGGTTCACAAGCTGTAGCCAGTCTTTCAACAAAGATAGACAAGGGAAGCAAGCTTTATTGCTCCCAGTATTCAAAGAACTATTTGTTCTAGAAATGGTATTGCAGCTATCAAGCTGAGCACTCTGGTGCCTTTGTTTGGCCTCCTTGTGCCTACATCTTATGAAATCATTAGCTGTTTCTTCACTGAGATCCTCACCTCCTTCAGCAGAGTCCTGCCTGCCCAGTGACGGGGTCCCTGAAATGCCAGTCACCCCGGAGTGAGGTGAGCAGGGAACTGCAGGAGGAGAGATGAGGGTCTCACGGTAAAGGCAGCAGAGCAGTACCCATCGCCGTGGTGTCCATCAGTATGGAAAGCCTGTCTTGGACTCCTCATGGGCTGAGCACTGCAAAAATCACACTCTGACCTTCTCATGCTAAGCCCCCTGAGCGGACAGACTGGACTATTGCTTTAGTGCTTCTGTTCCTCGTGTGCCATTGGGGGTATTTATATCTCCTTTGCATCTCAGCCAAAAAGATGAGATGACATTGACATCTTGACAATAGAAACGTGAAATGACACCGACAGCGTGAGAGCAAAGCTTGGGGGGAAATGATCTGGTGCCATTCATCACCACCATGTGGGACCACACCTACGTGATGGGGATGAAGGGACATGCCGGGTGCCCGAGGTGCGGAGCACCCCCAGCCATCCCCCCAGAGAGGCAGAGTGGTGGAGCGTCAGGGGTGCATCTTAACTGAGACCTGCTCTGCTGCTGAGAAAGATGGAAAACGGAGTTTATCCAGTCTGCGCTTGGAGAGCCATTTCAATGTCCAACACTTGGTTCTGGTAGCTGAAATGAGGTCTGTCTCTCTTCCTCTCTCTCTCTCCAGCCTGGACCTGGGGATGGCTTTTCCTCTGGTTCCTTGTCTCAGGACAACCACTCCATGCCCTCCCAGGGGTTATTGCTCACTGAGAGGGGGTATTTTGCTCTATTACTGGTCTCACTGGCAAGTGATGCTCAGCAGAAACGGTGTTAGTCAGTGTGGGAAGCTGCACTGAAAGTGGGGAGAAAAATGATTCCCCTCAACCGAGGTCAGGGTCAGGACTCCTTCACTGGCACCTGCAAGAAGAGACTGGAGAAGCTGCTTAACCTAACGTAGAGATGTTTACCCTGGGAACGGGTTTCACAGCCACAGCCGAGCAGCACAGCCGTCAGCAGGGGCAGCCTGCAGTGCGTCGGAGCAGATGAGGGGCTCTGCATGCTGAAGCCTGTGCTGAAGGCAGTGATGGAGCCCACTCATCCCAGCAGAGGAGAGCTCTTCACAAGCTCTCAGGATTCAAGCTGGCAGGAGGACAGAGCAGCCCCACCACTCCACGAGGCTGCTGCTGTGGTGCTGGACCATCCCCCAGAGGTTAACAAGTCCTTTCCTCCATGCACTGCAGGGAACAGCAGATGATGCATTACCTGAGCTCCCCATATGTCTGCCCCCACTAAAATCCCTCCCATTACACATCTAAGCTATTGCAGAGTTCTCTCAGCTCCCACATCTGCAGCTGTCACACGGGGCAGTGGGCAGGCTGCTTTCTGGGGGGGCTCAGCAACACGTGTGCTGGCTGGCAGGCAGGCTCGACAGAGCAGGGGACAGAGCAGCCCATGGAGACACTGGCCAAGGCTTCTTTTTCATACCCAGCTGATGATTTTTGCTAAATCGTCAGGAACTTCTTCTTTCGGGATGTCTGTCAATCTCCTTGAAACTGCGCAGACAGCTCAGTTTTGGAGTGCATTGCTAGAAGGGGAACTGACCACAGGATTTCCATAGGTAACAAAACAAAAGCACACTGTTTCCTAAAGCCCGTAGGAAAATTGCTCTACCAGCCATGGACTGTGAGCTGTGATGAACCCTTAGGCAGACAGAGCTAAAGAAGATAGCAATCCTTTCACTCATGGACCTGTACATGGTCTTTATGTGGACACGCATCACTGCCTGGTGGTCCCACAGCCATGCCTGCACATTCCCTATACATGTGTGCATCCCCTATGTACACAAACTCCATCAATAGACACCCACATGCACCCTCCCCCAGGCATGGCATGGCCACGTGCAGACTTTTTGTGCGCAGCTATTCAAGCACCCAAGCACGTTCCCTGCCATGGGTACATGTGCACACGTGCTTTCTGCATGTACATAGTCACGTTTCTACATACACAGAGTCCTTGCTTTCCCGCGTGCATACACACTCACATGATCTCAAATGCATCTCCTCTTCATCTGAAGTCATATCAACCAAGTCAATACCACTAATAATTTGCAGTTCCTAAGTCCTGACCCAGCACACGCTCCCAGCCTCATAACCACACTCACTCCCAGCGCATTTGGGCTCCAGACCCAGGGGTTTCTGCTGAGCTGGTTCCACCTGGAAGGCTGGATTCCATCCCAACCTGTATTTACATACTTTTTGCAGAGATAGAATTAAGTGAGGAAGCACGGGGCTGAGTATTAGGAAGATATTGCAGAAAGCTGCTCCTTGGCCTGGGGTCATCGTCAGTGATTCCCACACTCACATCCCAGCCCTCCTGGCAGGCGGCAGGCACACTTGGAGGAGAGCAAACAATGTGAATCCTGCAAAACATCTTCCAAGGCAAACTGTTGATTTGTAATTAGGAGAATTTTTTTTCTGTGTGCCTGATCTGAGTGGAGCTGGTTATGACCCATGACAGCTCAGAGTGAGAGCACTTGTAGCACTACATCAGGGACAGTGCTGATGAGCGGTGCAGCTGAGATGAGTGATCATACAGTGCCGGTTGTCTCACAGAGGCTGTGTTAAAAAATCAGGTCTTTATAACACTTATTTGCCTAACAATGGGCTAACTGTGATGCATAAATCATTGCATCCACATGGTTTGCAGTACAGCCCCATGTGTCCATGTGCTGCCCAGCCAGGACAGCTCTGTGCAGGATTTCAGAGGGATTTGCCAGAGACCTGTGGGAGGTCACTGCGTGTGCTGTGACAGGGGTTATCAAATCACACAAAACTTGATTCCCAGCTGCCTCTGCACATTGCAAGTTGGACTTGTTAACCTTTGGGGGGATTCTATTTCCATTTTACTAACAATCTTTGGGCCCCGCAGAGAAGTTCAGGAGTCCCAGGTGCTTCAAAAGCTGAGCACAGAATGTGAGTGCTCATCCTGAAATCTAGACTCAGCATTTGCAATTAGTTATTCTTCATTATCCTTTTTTAAAACTACAGTTCTGTAATCTGAGAGCTGAGACACCATCACAGCAAGTTTTGACACCACCTCAGAAAGCAAATTTGCCTGAACTGTTAAACCAAGTTGCTCTCCAACAACTGTGCAGTAAAATTTGTTCATCTGAATCTAGTGACATGTATTTACAACACTTAACAAAGCCATGATCAGTTTAAACAGCATTTTTGCAAGCTAGTTGGGAAACTAGAAAATAATTTGATGCAATATATTGAAATTTCAAAGATACTTTCACTTCAAAAAAAGGATTGAAATTATTTTAAGTTAGAATTTTGATTTTTTTAGACTGTATTTTTCTGATTTTTTTTCTGTTCTTTTAAAATTTCTTCTCTTCTGATTTTTTTTTTTTCCCATTTCCATTTTAATTTCCCCTGGTTTCCTTAAACCAATTCAAAATCCTCAGGGATTAAAAATTAAAAATGCTCAGACCCATCTTGTGTGCCCCTGGCCTGAGCTGTGGAGCTGGACCTAGAAATACCTGGGCATCTCTGCTGACTCCAAAGAGAGTTTGAGCATCGTGTTGGTGTGGAGACCACAGTTGTCCTTCCATTGTTTGTCCCTGTGGAGCTTCTTCCCGATCCCATTGATTAGTACTGGGCTTGTGGGGTGAGCTGCACTTCTCCCGCTCTTCGTGTAATTGGGAGCGTTTGTATCAGTCATATGAAACTGCCACTCTGAGACGCTTGTTACAGCTCTCCTGGTTCATTTCCTCCTTCAATTAAACATCTACAGTTCTCAGTCTCTTCAGTAATTAGGAAATGCTTCCGGTGCTTTGATATTTTTGCTGCTGCCTCTGTCATTTCTGTTTTGGACCAGGGCAGCCGAACAGACCTGCTGTCCCAGTGCAGAGACCTGGCCATCACAGGGGTTTTGCACTGTTTTCTATGCATTGCATGGTTCAGTTTGACTTTATCACCACGTCGAGTGTGAGGAAAAGGCATTACCTGGTCTGCCTGTTCCTCCTGCATGGGTCCATGGAGGACATGACACCTTTTGTATTTCAGTGTTAATACCTTTGGCCGTTCAGGACATTTCTGACCCATGCTGGGTCCAGTCTCTGGATGAGCAGGTCTGGATAAGTCCTTTTAGGTCCAGAGGGCCATCTAAGCCTTAAAGAAAAAAAAATCATGGTGCTTCTTCTGTTCAGACTTCTGCCTCCCTCCAGCACATAGCTGGTTTGTCAAGTAGCGTCCATGCTGAGCATAAGCACTTTCATTTTCTGATATTTGACTCTAGGGCCTTTTGGAAAAGCTGCATTTTTTGAAACCTCTCTGTCAGCTACAGCTTTTGGTCCAATTGCTCCCCTAAGAGTGCTGTACTTAATTAAGTTGGAATTGCTGTTGCTCAATCATCCAACCATAATGATGTCTTTAACCAAATCAGATAGGTTAGCTGGGGCATGAGTCCAGAGCTGCCTCCTCCTGTGTGCTGCTGCAGAACAGGCTGACCTAGAAACAGCCAAACAGCATACTATAAAACTGCTTTTCTGAACTTCTCTCATGACAAATAACTAATGTATACCTGCATGTACCTGCAACTGCTCGTTGTCACTCTCTGAAGGGAATTAATTTTCTTTTTGATGCCTATTGCTCAGTAATATTTTCAAAAAGTCAAGAGGAAAGGCTATATTTGCACTGAACGTTGCTGACAGTTTGTTGCTGGATAGGCTTTTCTTCCCTGTGCATTTACAGACCACAAAGCAAAAAACCCTCTCTTCCCCTGCGCTGAATTAACAACAGAGAGGTACAAAATCATAGCCAGCCAGCCTTTCTTCTCAGCCAGAAGAAAGGGATGCAGGTCCCAGAGGACAGATCAAGACATGCAACCCAGGGGTCTACCAAACATTTCTGCTCTGCCTCTTTGGCCTTGCGATCCCAGCCCTGTCCCTGCAAACCTGCCTGGTCCCAGAGACGCACCCTGGCCGACAACCCAACCAGTCTATGTTGAGTTCTTGTTCTTCCTTGCAGAGCATCCACCTGTCCTTTTTGCGCACGGTCCCACCATACTCTCACCAGGCCAACGTCTGGTTTGAGATGATGAGAGTCTTCAACTGGAATCACGTCATTCTGATAGTCAGCGACGACCACGAAGGTCGTGCTGCACAAAAGAAGCTGGAGACCCTCTTGGAGGAGAGAGAATCCAAGGTCAGTTCCTGAACATTGTCTTGTAGCTTTGTTTAAGCAGCAACAACAAAACTAGAAGTCTCGGGCTGTTGTATGTATGTAGATTTCTGTATGTAAAACACCTTTTCTTTCCATTGTAACATGGCTAACATGCTTAAAGCATCAACAGTGTCTGACTAGTACCTGACAGAACTTTGTACTTTATTCATTTCACTTGCTTTGCCATGGTCAAAATCTCCTACATGTAAATCGACTACAAAATGAAGGGAAGGATAACCTGGAGCTCTGCAAATGCCTCGCCCAAGATTCCCACCTAAGGAGAGGACCAGTCGCTCAGCTTAGGGAAGCACTTGCCCCGTTAGAGCTACCCAGGGGCCAGGCAGACCCAGCAGTGCCAAACCAACCCCGAAAAGCAGCTTCTGAATTGGCTAACCGGAGCTCACCTTAGTGGCCTAGGACGGGCAAGGGCAGCCGGCGCATTGATGCGCGGAGGTATAATGCACCCTCTCTATAAAGCTGACAGCTCTGCGGCTGCAGACTGATGCCCCCGTTCCCATCTCCATTGAAGCACATGCCAAACGCTGCTTTCCTGACACCCCATGCTCTTACAAGAGGGCAGTTGTGGCTGGCAGGAGCAGCTTTATCGAGGAGGTGCACTGCACCTGCACTCAGAGCCTCGCGGGGGAGCAGGGAGGGAGGCAGGGGAGGTCCCCGAGCCTGCTAGAAGTTCAGGAGGACTACCATAGACCTGCTGCCACTGAGTAACAGGATCAAGCAAGCATTCAAGCCAAGCAGGAAAGGAGAACACAGGGAGCCGTTCAACTGCAGTGGCTCAAAGGCAGGCGCCTGTCTGGAAGGGAAGAAACCACCTCCTACCCTATGTGGTGAAGTCCCATCACGTCCTCTTGCCCAGGGCAGTGTGAGGTCCCCTTCAGGTGGGCAGAGTCCAAGCCCATCTCCAAGCCTCCAGCAGCATCAGGGCAGGCACCCGTTCCTTGCTGCTCTCTCCTGGGTCACAGGCAGGGACTACAACCTGCTCTTCTCCAGCCCCACCAGCAGCTGCTGGACGTTCGGACATTGGCTGTTGAGGAGATGTGGCTGTAGACGATTCTTGTGCTTGGAGTTGGCAGCTAAGCTGAGAGACCAGCAAGAGCAGCCTGCCACTGCTCTTCGTCACCTCTTGTCAAGCCACTGGAGGAACAACTGGTGCAGGGGTATGGGCTGGCACAAGCCACACTGATTAACAGGCTTTTGTTTTTGGTGGTGGTTTCCAAGAAGTTTCATCCTTGCTGCATCCTGAGATACTGATGTGCCACCAACGATGGTGGGATCCTCCTGCCTCCAAAGGCAGCTTCTTGCTGGGTGACAGCAGGCCAGTATTTCTCTCCAAAGCCTCTTACCAGCACAGTGTGCCTCACCCAGTGAGAGCTGTGGAAAGGTTGTTCCCACTGTCAGTCTGTTGTCCCTTTCCTTGCTCCTTTTGATTTCCATTTTCTGTTTTCTGCAGCTCCCATGCATCCCCTTTTGCTGGTCCCTCCCATGCCTCCACTCCCTACTTGCTCCATGCAATGCCCCCAGGCACAGAGTGTATTTCTTCTTCAGCCTGCCCATCCTGCAGGAAAGCCTTTGAGATCTGGGGCTTGAAAGATGGAGGAGGGACGGTCCGTCCTGAGGTGTACCCCACATTTGCACTGCATCTACAACATGCCTTGGTGTCTCCTGGCAGCCACTGGACTACTGCAAATGCCCTGGAAATCCTCCAGCCTGGGGCACGTGCTCTGTGATGGCAGGTCACCTTGTCTTCCCTTCGGGGTGTGCCACCCCATCGTGGTTCTTTTTTCCTTTGTGGAACTTGCTCTGGTCAAACTGACCCGTCTGACTGGTCTTGAAGGTGGTAGATACCCCTGTTGGGACTCTCCCCTCTTCTTCAATCTCTTCTGCTGTCTAATTGCTCTCCTAATCACTGGTGTGCTGACTCTCTTCATGCTGTTAAGTAGTACCCTGAACCCCTCCCCAACCTCCTGAAGGGCAACCTGGGACTTGGGGAGAGAGCAGGCAGGAGATCTGCTCTCAACCTCTTCAAGGCTTAGATCACAGCCCCTGAGGACCTGGAGGATCTGCTATGGGTCGGAGGCTCACCTGCCCACCTGAGCTCTTGGATCTAAGCATGGCTTGTCCCCTGGAGCCTGTGCTGGCCCTGGGTGTCACTCAGGCACCATTGCATGGATTTGCACTTCAAGCAGGCATTTGGAGCGCAGCACTTGGGCCAGGCTGACCAGCCCTGGTGCACTCCACATGCTAGCCTTGACTTAGGTCTGCCTGCAGTAACTGTCAGCCTGGAGCTACTGCTTCATCCCAGTACAACGCTACTGATTCATCTGGGCAGGCCACCATTGCACCAACACTGCTCGGGTATGCTGTGAAAATCAGTGTGCCCAAGTCAGAGGTGACAGGTCCCTGGTGTGCTGGGTCCTTTTCCCTGGGACAGTGGTGTTCATGAAAGTGCTAACTTTTTGAGTGAATTCTGGAGAACATGGTGGAAAGTGAATTTTGAATTTGTGGGTCCCTGTGTGAAACACAGGCTGAGGAGCAGGGAATGGCTGCAGGATGACACAGAAACATGGGAAAGAGAGGAGACATTACTGGTTTAGTTCTGGCAATAGGATGGGGGGACAGGGAGAGGCAGAGGGGATCATATGCCGTCAGGTCCAGCTTTGCTGCACCCAAGACTCTGCTTCACTTTGCTGACCAGCTTGGGTCAAGGTGCCAGCACATCTGAGGCACACAAGGGAATCTGTGGCTGGAGGCTGCAAGATGGATGACCAAGTTTGTGGCTAAATTGATGGTGCCTGAGGAAAAGTGGCCAATGTCTCATCACTGGAGAATATTCATGCTGTCCTGCTGCAGCTCTGCTCTCCTTGGAGGCAGTTGTCACTCCAGGTCTCACTGCAATCTGAGCAGACTCTAAGAAGCCGTTACAGAAATCCTTGCTGTGGACATCATCAGAAGCGAAGGCAGACCTGGGCTCCAAGCAGATTTTGCTTCCTCAGATACTTTTTCTTTCAAGGACCCAACTTTCTTTGAGCAATGAAAACCCTGTCAGGCTGTGTTCAAGGAGAAGAAAGGAAAGATCACACAGCTGCATGGAAAGGAGACCTGGCAAAATGTCCTGCCAAAGACCAGTCTGAGTGCTCAGGAAGAGGCAAGCTATTTAGTTTGGAAAGCAAGATGCAGAGATAAAACCTGGCTGCCTAAGGAACAACCTGGGAACACGAACCCTTGCATTATGGGGTGCAAAGGGTCGGGTTCCTGGCAGGGATCAGTTGCCATTGCATAAAGATGCTGCAAAATGGAGATCAGAATAGAGCTGTGTCCCGTACTCCATACGCACAGATCAGGGATGCCCAGCTGGGGTGGGACAGGGTCAAGAAGAAGAGGTCAGACTATGTCCCACCAAAATCTGCCAACCACTATACTGCAGGTACTGTCAGGTTGATGTTCTTGGTCTGACCACAGAGGCTGCTCCCAAGAAGGTCCACAGGGCTCTGTGCATGCTGCTGCAGGGTCAAGACTTGTGAAAGCAGAGGCTGTTAGCCCTCAGCACACTGCCTGGAGGAGAGGAAACCTCCAGAAGCAGGTTTCCTGCTCCTGGCTCCGCTGGGGCCGAGCAGCAGAAGTGACTCAGGCAGGAAACAAGGAGCAGGATCTCTGCTCCAGTCTGTTATCTGCAGGGTCAGTGCACCCTGAGCCACCTGCCCCTAGTCCAGGTGTGATGCTCCGGCCAGCAGCATGGAGACCACCAAGCAGTGAACCCCACTAGCCATGCGTAGGGCCAGGTTATGGGCATCATGGTCTCTGGCAGATGTACCTCCCAGGGCCGCCCATGTGCCACAGAGCCACGAGGTACCCTCAGCCCTCCCCAAGCACCAGGTAAAAGCTGCAATGTCATCCCATGATCACCATTGCTTCATATTGCCACGCTTTGAGCCAACAAGGGATGTAGAGAGCTTTTTCTTTCTCTTTTGGACAGCAACAGAGCTCCAAAAAGCTGCTCCCTTCTTGCAGGAGGTGAGAAGTTCAGCTGAGACACCTCACTTGCTGTGAACTCTCTTAGGGTGAACAGGATTGTAATGATAATAGTGATGGTAATAATGCTAATACTCTTAACTGTAACAGTTTGCATTTATCCAGCACTTTCCGTACACAACATTTTGTCCTTTACTTCCACAGTAATTCCATGGAAATCCCACCTCTTAGGCCCTTAGAGATGCATAGATTGTTTCTGAGTTTAAGATAAAAATTTCTTGCTGAAGAATTCCCCAGTCCCACAAGGGAAATGCAACTGCATCGCAACAGCTGTGACACTCAGGCTTGCTCTAACCGATATGGCTTTGCACCGTGACGCTCCCGTGAGAGCTGAGGCACTCTCTCCTGATAGTGGTTTTTGCGAGCTCCAGCGTTATAGAGACCCTTTAGCAAACAGTGGAGGAGGAGGTGGATGTTGGATTGCTTTACTACACGTCATTTTCAACTGTTTATAATATTCTTCTGTGTCTACATATTTTCTCTGTGCACATTATTCATCAGAGTAAAAAAAGGAACTATGAAAACCTCGACCAACTTTCCTATGACAACAAGCGAGGACCCAAGGTATATATGCATGGAAATGCACGCCGCCCACCAACCTAACTAGCAAATGAAAAATAGCCACAGCCACCAGAAAAATAAAAAAGAAAAAAAGAGAAAGAGAAAAAAAAAGAAAAGAAAAGAAAGAAAAAAAAAAGATCCATGACTATGTTTCTTGGTAGCACGTTTTTATGTTGAGATAGTTTGGTTTGGACTTGAGAATGGAAACCTAGCCAGCTGACCCTGGAAGGATTTCTTTTTGAAACATGCATGTGAACCAGTAATTAACTTGCAAGTTTTTTTTTTTTTTTGAAAAGTTGAACCAACCCCCTTTCCTCCCCAAAGGAAACAGTTCCTTGGTGTAAGTTGCTCACTTTTACTCCCAAAGGTTAACCCTGTGCAATATGTTTTTTTCATTTCCCATGTTTTTGAAAAACAACACTCGTTTGAGTTTTCAATTGCATTTCAAAGCCTTTTTCTCTTTCCTGTACAATGCACGCCTCTTTTTGGGTCTTGATTGACTTCAGTTTGCATGCACAGTGCAAAAAAAAAAAAAAAAAAAAAAAAGACAAAAATCAAAAAGCCAAAACCTTAAAAGAGAAAGGAAGGAAGGAAGGAAAGAAAGAAAAGAAAGAAAAGAAATGAAAAAAGAAAAAAGTAGCTGTAACCAACTTTATTTAGCAGACTTTTGTGCAGTTTAATGAATTCTCTTGACCCTTTTCTAGATAGCATGGCTCTCACAAGCAGTCCTGGGGCTCCCACACTAACCAGCTTTGCTCACACTAATCACAGGCTGAGAAAGTGCTTCAATTTGACCCTGGAACCAAAAACGTGACGTCGCTGCTGCTGGAGGCTAAGGAGCTGGAGGCTCGTGTCATCATCCTTTCTGCCAGGTAAGGCAGAGCCATCCCTTCCCCTCCCTGTTCTGGTTTTCTCACTCTTCCCTTTGCAACACTTCCCAGTGCTGGAGTCAGTGCAGATTTGGGGGGTGTCATTCTTTCAAAGAGCATGGGAAGAAACCCACATAAAGCCCCACGTCCCAGGCAGGTGGTGGATGCTGTGGTGTGCATACTGCTGGCCAGGGAGCTTGCAATCATGAGCATGGTTGAGATGTCTGGCTGTCCTGCAAAGTTTCAGCAGCTACAGAAGCAGCAGTAGCTACTGATGATGTATCCTGATTCACCTGTGAAGGAGGGGAGTCTTATTGCCCCCATGCCTATAGGCGATGAGCAATAAGGCATGGGCCAGATTAGCAGATGCTCAGCGGTGCTGTGGGATTAGATGAAGCTGAGAGAAAGGTTCCCACTGAGTCAAGGAATTAGCCATTGCCCAGGAGAACCACTTATCAGAGCAGAACTGCCTGGGGATGTGTTTTCCCTGGTGCTGCCACCCCCTTGGGATCCGACAGAGGAGAAAAGGGGCCATCCAGCACCTGGAGCCACGTTGCCGTTCCCTTCTTCTCGTTGCAGTGAGGATGATGCAGCCACGGTGTACAGATCAGCAGCCATGCTCAATATGACGGGCTCCGGCTACGTGTGGCTGGTGGGGGAACGGGAGATATCGGGCAATGCCCTGCGTTATGCCCCTGATGGTAGGCACCCACCGGAGGTGGCTGTCCTGCTGTTGGCCAGGCTTGGAGGAGCCTGCTCGGAGCTGGGACGAGTGGCACCTGCCCTCCCGGGGACCCCTTGGGCGGGGGGGAACATGATGCTGTGGTCATCCCAAGCGAGTGGAGGGTCCCACGTGTTGCTCTCCGCCCCCTTTGCTCACATGGGGAGACAGCAGCCTTGGCCACACTGCTGTGCCCCAAATCCAACTCACCAGGGCTTTGCAAGATGACTGTCACCTGGGGGAAAGTTTGGGGCAAGGGGATGGGGGGGGAGCATGGGGTGTCAGCAGTCTGTGTAGCTGTCCCCAGCCACCATCCAGCAAGCAGGACAGGGTCAGCCCAGCGCCGCTGCAGACGCTTGCCCTGTCTGCCCCTGCCTGAAGCTCAGACAATGCCCCAGCTGCATCTGAGGGGTCTTCAGCCCCACAACCATGTGCTCGCTGGCCCTGGAGCCCTGCACGTGGGAGTAAGGCCAGAGCAACCAGTGTGCCCTGCTGACCTGCCTCCTCCCCTCTGCTCGTGGCAGGAGTGATCGGTTTGCAGCTTATCAATGGGAAGAACGAGTCAGCCCATATCAGCGACGCTGTCGCGGTGGTGGCCCAGGCTGTGCACGACTTGTTTGAGAAGGAGAACATCACAGACCCGCCACGGGGCTGCGTGGGCAACACCAACATCTGGAAGACAGGACCCCTTTTCAAGAGGTATTTGCGAAAGGGTCCTGCTGGAGGGAGCAGAGGACCTGCTGGGGGAGAGCTGGACAAGGTGGGAGCATGTGGAAAAGGTGCAGGAGGGCAACATGGTAGCTCTGTTCAGAGAATCTGTCACTAAAGCTTTGGGGCATGTGGCACAGGACTGCTTGGACTCTCCTGCATGATTTGGACGTGAGGGCTACATCTATCCTAGAAAACTAGCCAGAACATGAGCTCAGGCCCCCAGGTTGTCCGGGCAGTTTAGACATCATGCTGGTGCCTGGCATCAATTTGGTCCATGCCAACCCATGCTCTCCTGGGCGATGCTTGGGCGGCTGGGATCAGTGTGTGGGCAGGGAACGACTCTAGGAAGAAGAGATCTGGGGGCCACGGAGGGGTGATCTCCTCTGGTCTGGATGTTAACTCTATGAGTGGAAGAGGGGAGAAAGGGAGTTTTTCTGCCACGTCAGCGTGGGGGGATGTTTCTGTCAAATCGGAGCTCAGTGCTGTGAACATGTTTCTTGCCAAATGTTTCAGGGCTGTGGCATGGGTCAGCGTGCTGCAAGCAGGACTTGGGGGCAAGAGATCTCCATGCATGGGGCAGGCTGCTCTTTGCTGTAGCAAACACTGGTTTTGGGTGGTGGGGTCTCAGCAGATCGGAGCATGCATGTGTTGGGTCTCGCTGCCGTGGGCAGTGTGATTGGCAGATGCTGCATGCGTTCCCCAGAACAAGTCTTTGTGCTGCGTGGGGTTTTGTGCTGCGTGGGGTTTTGTGCTGCGTGGGGTTTTGTGCTGCGTCGCTGCAGATGCTGGAGCATCCAAGGGCCACTCCTGCAGGCTGGATCTTAAGAACGCAGCAATTCCCTTTGCAGCATCGCTCCCTGTGCAGGAGGGCTGCTCTCTGCAGTGTGCCACCTGGCACCAGGGTGTTGCTTTTGGCAGTGGGATCCTGTGCCAGGGGTTGCTCTCTTCAGACATGGTCGTGGTGTCTGTGGGATGCCCTTTCTGTAGATCTGGGTTCTGTTGAGCACGGGACCTGCAAAGCCTGAAGCTTGTTTTAGAAAGATTTCCAGCATCCGCTGCAGTCATGGTTTTTGGCATGTGCTATTTGAAATTGTTCTCTATGGTGCACTGCAGGTCGCTCAGGCAATACTTCTGTATTTTCACTGTCGTCTTTCCAGGGTTTGGTGGGCTGGTTCTCCCCTTGGTGCGGTATGCACGTGCCTGGGACATTACCCAGGCTGATGGGCTGGTGCCAGAGAGAAGCACCAGGAGTGGTAGCATGGACACAGCTCTCAAGGGACCCCCAGAGGAAGGTATCCTTGGGTGCTGTGGGACAGCTCATTCCTTTAGGGCATGGGACCGATCTGGTGGAAAACAGGAGAGAATGACGACAGATATGGTAGTACAACATTCAGGCAACATGAGTCCCCAGAATAACTTCATCCATCAGGAGCAGATGACCACAGGGCTATGAACTGGTTGTAGGTAGCCTTGACTGGACTTCTATAGTGTAATGGGCATATCAGACATGGCACGCAACTGAGAGAGAGCATTTGGTTTTCTGACCCCTTCTTAGATGTCCCAATGGCCACAGCAGGTTTTCTAGGAGGGCCCCACTGTGTTTCTCTCCATAGGGTGTTGATGTCCTCCAAGTACTCGGAGGGTGTCACCGGCCGGGTGGAATTCAATGAGGACGGGGACAGGAAGTTTGCCAACTACAGCATCATGAACCTGCAGAATCGGAAATTGGTCCAGGTTGGGATTTACAATGGCAGCCATGTACGTACAGGCCTGGACAGGCTGGCTAGGATGGCTGTGTGCGCTGGGGTGTCTACCTATGGCCTCATGTCTATCTTCTTCCTCTGGGATTGATCATAGGTCTTGACCAATGACCGGAAGATTATCTGGCCAGGGGGAGAAACCGAGAAACCTCAAGGCTATCAGATGTCTACCAAATTGAAGGTAACAGCAAATGGCAGCAGGGGGTGGCCGGTCTCTGTATGCAGGGCTGTGGCTTGATCAAACAACCACTTCCACTGCTGCCTCTACAGCTGTCAGCAGCATTTGCAAACCCAGGGCACCTGCCATCTCGGAGATGATATAGCAGAACGACTTTGAGAAGGTACTGGAGGGTGTTCAGAGCTAGAGCACAACTTCCAGCTGGTGACAACCTAGATAGGTGGCAGGCATCCTTTGGTTAGGAAAGAGACAGCTGGAAAGTGGACATGAGAGAGAATAACAAAGAAGGGATGGAGGGAGAAGGTGTTCACCATTCCTCATGGCTTGGGAGCCAGAGGGCACCCAGCACAGGTTTGCAGGAAACACAAGGATGGGCTCCCCTGGCCAAGGCATAGTTTGGTTCTGGAGCCTGTTGCTACTAGACAGTGTGGTGGTGAGAAGGAAACAGGTTCAAAAGGAGATTAAACAAGGTAGTGGAGGGTGGGTGGGCTGGTGGCTGCAATGTCGAGTTTGGGAAATCCCTGAAGAGCTGATGACCAGAAGCTGGAGGTGACACTGGGAGAAGCTCCCTCCACTCTTGCCTTGCTTCTCATGCCGTTCCCTTAAGTGTACCCCAGCAGCCACTTTAGTGACTGGATCCCGGGCAGGCTAGTCTTACCAGTATTGACTGTTCATTTGTCCTACTGTCCCGGCAAGAGAAATCACACATTCCCACCAGCAGTGAGCCCTTATTCCTGCAGAGGTGGTGCAGATCTGTTGGGATGCTGCTTTACTGAAAAGGTCCAGGGCAGGACTGAAAGATGTGCATTAGCTGGGGCTGTGCGACCGTGTCTAGAGCGCATTCAGGCCATTAATCCTGGCTATGCGGCAGCTCTCATCTGCGTCCGCTTAGGGAGAGAGGCGTGAAAGGCTTTGAGGCCAAGGTGAAAGTGCCACGCAGGAGGATGCTGATATGACTGTTCCTCACCTTGGGTGCAGGGAGAGAAGATGTTCCCCATGCCAAAGCCAGATCCCACTGCTGGGCTGAGCGGTCCGATGTGCTGAGATGGCAGCTGAGGAGGACACCATGGCATTTTGGCCATGCTTGCGTGGAGAGGGCAGCCCAGCTCCCCACCCAGGAGAACAGCTCTGAAGGGAAATGGAGACAAGAGAGTGTTTGTGCTTTGCCTCGCAGATCGTGACGATCCACCAAGAGCCCTTTGTGTATGTGAAGCCCACACAAGCAGATGGGACATGCAGGGAGGAATTCACCATCAATGGAGATCCTGTGAAAAAGGTCTTTTGCACTGGACCCAATGAGACCATCCCAGGTAACTGAGTTTGGTGGTGAGCGCAGCAGCTCCCCCAGCCCACCCAGCTGATGAAGACTCCCATCCCAAGAAGGGGTCCCCAGGGAGGGTGCTCAGTCACACAGGAGGCCCAGAGGATGAGGAGCAGAAAGGTGACAGCATATTTAGCCCCCAAATGCCCCCCATCAGCTCAGCCCCACAGCAGTGCTGTGCGGTAACTGACCACTGGGATTCAGGTTTTTGACCCCAACAGATGATTTTCCTGCTTGTCTCTCTTCTGGGTGGGCTCCAGGGCTGTTTTGGGTGATTGCATCCCATGTCTCTGTCTCCTGACGTGTTCCAATTCTCTTTGCCTTGATCTCAAGCAGAAGCAAGAACCCTGAGGCACATTACACCTGCTGCACTGGTACTAACAACACCAGTTTCGAAACATTTTGTTACAGAGACCCTGTTTCAGGATTAGGAGTGTGCACCTGGTGGGGGGGTGAGCTGCTTAGCAATGCCAGGCTTGCCCAAATACACCTGAAGTGCATGTCCTTGGCCCATCACACCTTCCTGTGCACAGCTGTCCCCCCAGCCCCAAGCTGTGTCCTGGACTGTATTCAACCTGACGGGTTTATGTTAGTACTAAGCCCCCTCCATCCCCTGCAGTGGGACGGTAGCACCAGCTTTCAGCCTACCTCAGCTGGGACACAGCAAATGAACAAGACCCCTTTCCCCCCAGGTTGCCTTCTTCCCATGCTTGTGCTTCCCTCACACCCATGGGTGATGGAGGCAGTGGAAGAGGATGGTCAAGGCAGATGGCCCTGCCTGCATAATGTGGTTATATGTCATGTGAAACCAGAACCATGCAGGTGGCTGCTCTCGCTGGGGACAGCCATGGATCCTGCATGGGGTCCCTGGCAAAGGGCTGCCTCCACTCATCCCCCCATTTTCTCCTGCCCACAGGCCGTCCCACTGTGGCACTGTGCTGCTATGGCTTCTGCATCGACCTGCTCATCCGGCTGGCGGGGGTGATGAACTTCACCTACGAGGTTCACCTGGTGGCTGATGGTAAATTTGGTACCCAAGAGCGGGTGAGTTTGGGCAACTTGTGATATCTCTCGCCTGTGTTGTATGTTGAAACGCACCTGGGCCCTTCTCTGGAGCAGGGGTGGGGTGGGAGGGTAGTGCGGGGTGCCTGCATGGGTAGGGGGTCCTGGCTGGTGGGGGACAGGTGTCAGGGCAGTGGGCTGACCCTGCACTGGTTCTCTGGCAGGTTAACAACAGCAACAAGAAGGAGTGGAACGGGATGATGGGGGAGCTGCTGAGCGGCCAAGCAGACATGATTGTGGCCCCCCTCACCATCAACAATGAGCGGGCACAGTACATTGAGTTCTCCAAGCCCTTCAAGTACCAGGGCCTCACCATCCTTGTGAAGAAGGTATGGGTTGGGATGGGATGTTTTGTGGACAGGGGAGGTGTCACTTGCTCCCCAGCTTGCAGACACGTGCCATGTCTGCACCATGCCTAGCTCCCTCAGCTGCTGCCCCCTGCCCACCCCAGGGCAGTGGCAAATCCCAGCCTTTGCTGCAGGATGCCAGCTTGCTGGATTTAATGCTGGATCTTGACTTGGCCCCCCTGAGCCTTCCTGTGTAGCAGAGCAGGAGGAGCTCGGAGCAGGGCAGGGGCCCTTGTGAGGCCAGCCAGATGGGCAAGGTGCAGGCATGGTGGGTGCCAGCACTGTTCACCTCTCTTCTGTGTCCTAGGAAATTCCCCGCAGCACCTTGGACTCGTTCATGCAGCCTTTCCAGAGCACACTTTGGCTACTGGTGGGGCTGTCTGTGCACGTGGTGGCAGTGATGTTGTACCTCTTAGACCGATTCAGGTGAATGTGCTTTGGGTCACCCAAGGGCTGGAGGGGACAGGGAGGTGCTCCTGGGAACCATCCCCTGGGTCCCCACAGTGTCTTGCTCAGGCACAGCCCTGCAGCCCTTCAGGAGGCTCTTGCAGGAGCTAAACCCCCTGCTCTGCCCCACCAGCCCTGGTCTGAGGCTTCTGCCCTCTCTGGCTGCTGCTAAGCTGAGAGATATGGATATGTGGGATGCCCAGCACCTGGATATGTGGGAACGTGCCTGTCAGACCAGATGCCACACTGATGCCTGACCAATGGGACCGTCAGCTCCTGGGCTCTGAGTTAGTCCCCTTCCTTGACCCCAAGGCAGCTCCTGTGGAGGGCAGGAAGGCTGTCCCCCTCGTTAGCCCTGTGCTCGGAGGCTCTTGCGGCTAATCTGCATTGAGCCCTCGTGCTGCAGTGGGAGAAGCTTGAGCTGGCCAGGATCGGATGATCTTTCTGGCCCAGAGGGAAGCATGATGGGACCAGTACCAGTGTGATGGACAGGGTTGCAGATCAGCAGCGGGGACATGCAAGGCAGTGGGACATGACGGGTGAAGAGCTGTTTGGGGCACGAGCGTGGTCTGCAGGGATGAGTGATGCAGGGCTGCATCAGGACACATAGGGCACAGCAGAGAGGCCTGGGAACCGGGATAAGGAATGTGAGGAGAGCTCTCTGTCTTGTTTTCCAGCCCTTTTGGCCGGTTCAAAGTGAACAGTGAGGAGGAGGAGGAAGATGCCCTGACCCTCTCCTCGGCCATGTGGTTCTCCTGGGGAGTCCTGCTGAACTCCGGCATCGGAGAAGGTGCGTTGCAGCACGCAGCGGGACCACTCTGCCCTGCGGCCCTGGCCCTGAGCCAGGGAGGACACTGGGCTGGGGGAGAAGCCGACGTCCTCTTCCACTGTGTCCTCTCTGTGGCAGGGCTGATGCCCTCGGGGGACCATTCAGTGAATGGGTACAGCCCTCCTTCCCTTAGCCTTCCCTGGGGGTGGGCTGGTGGGGGATCTGGTGATGCCAGGGCGGCACAGTTGTGGAATTCTTTGTGCAGACCATCCTGCTGCCCCTCACGATCAGTGATGGGAAATGGGTTCTTCTTGGGCTGCTTCTCCTGTTCAAGGTTACCCATCTGCTCAGTGTGAGACAGATCGTGCCCTGGAAGGAGATATAGGTTTTTCTTGGTTTGGGCAGTGCAGGAGCCCCTTGCGTGGTTGTCGGCAGAGCAGATAGATGGGGCACATCTGCAGCTGCCATTGATCTCGCGTGGGATGGACATGGCTTTGCTGACCAAGTCAAGCCCTTGTCATGCCAGTCTGATCTTGCCTCTCTCCCTCCAGGTGCTCCCCGGAGTTTCTCCGCACGTATTCTTGGCATGGTGTGGGCTGGCTTCGCTATGATCATTGTGGCTTCATACACTGCCAACCTGGCAGCCTTCCTGGTGTTAGACCGGCCTGAGGAGAGAATTACGGGCATCAACGACCCTCGGGTAATGACCCCTTGCTTGCTTTCCCCTTCTCTGTCCACCTCTGGGCAGAGAAACAGGAGATGCATCCAGTGGGTATCTCCTGGCTCATATAATATGGCTTATAGTACCCAGTGTCCTGCTCTGACATGGCTGTGGGTCTGTACCAGGGGGTCAAGCCTGCCTGGGGCTGTCACTGGTGGGTCTGAGCCCCTGTGCTGGGTGGGAACGGACAGACGCAGGGAGGGATCAGCAGGGAAAACATTATCCAGAAACAGAATGTACCCAGTGAAACTGCCTGCCAGTTCCTGGAGAGCCTGCACTAACCAACGAGGAAACGATTCATTATGGATGAGTTATAACTAATGAAATCGTCCCTGCGGTGCAGTCAATACTCTCAGCAGATACCAGCATGCCTCAAAACCATTTCCTGCTCTGGCAAGGACACAGCCACAGCTTATCAGCCCAGGCACACAGGAATGTTCCCCACAGCAGCGCCGACTCACAGCATCCTGCACCCTACTGCATCCTCCACCCACGGCACTGCCAGCCCCATTGCATCGGCAGTGCCACGGTGTCACTGTCCCATAGCGTCCCCTGCCCCATGGCATCCACTGCCCCATAGCATCTTCAGCTCTGCTGGGGAGACCAAGGTCTTCTCTGGGAAACAGGTCCCCAAAGATGGGAAATTAGGAAACCCAGCTTTGGGGTGAGCCAGTTTGGTTGATGAAGGACAGAAGAAATAGGAGTCCTGACCTTGCCTTCCAGCTGCGCAACCCATCTGATAAGTTCATCTATGCCACGGTGAAGCAGAGCTCTGTGGACATCTACTTCCGACGGCAGGTGGAGCTGAGCACCATGTACCGGCACATGGAGAAGCACAACTACGAGAGTGCTGCCGAAGCCATCCAGGCAGTGAGGGACAAGTGAGTGGGGCCAGCACCTTGCCTGGCCATGCTGAGAAGAGTTTAGGGGGCTGCAGTTTGGTGGAGCAAGCAGGGCTGATGCAAACCTGGAGGGAGCTGCAGTAAAAGCATGGCTTGATGAGACCTGCCTAGTCCTAGTCCTAGACCTGCCAGGTCTCCGGATGTAGAGCACAAGGTCTGTGTGAGGAAAGGCACGCTCAGAGCCCTGGCCCTCCTTTCCGGCCTTTGTGGTTGCTTCTGTGCAAGGCTGGGTGGCTTTAAATCCCATATAAACCCCTCACACTCCTCCTCCAAAATTTTGCCAAGTCTTTTGCCTCCCAGCAGTACATAGATAGACCCTGTTGGGAGGAGGGTGATGATAATCAGTGCTTAAATTAGTGCTGGGAGCACTCTTGCTGCTCCCATCGTGGCTGCTCCCAAGCTGGGCTGCCCAACCTTACCTGTCTGTCCTCTCTTGGTGTCCAGCAAGCTCCACGCCTTCATCTGGGACTCGGCGGTGCTGGAGTTCGAAGCCTCCCAGAAGTGTGACCTTGTGACGACGGGGGAGCTTTTCTTCCGCTCCGGCTTCGGGATCGGGATGCGCAAGGACAGCCCATGGAAGCAGAACGTCTCCCTGGCCATCCTCAAGTCCGTACATGGCTCTCAGCATGGGGCTCGCCCCGAATGCTGCATGTATTAACATGCAAATAGCCTCGTGCCAGGCACTGCCACCCCACCCTCCAAACCCTCCGCAGGGACAGGGGCTCTGGGGGTTGCCGTGTCACTCCTGATGAAAGGAACATGCCGGAGTGACCAGGGTGGGCACCCACAGCCCCAGCTCTAGCTCGCAGGGCTCAGGGAGCAGCACGGAGCTGGTGGGAGGGCAGAGCAGAGCAGGGCATGGAGCAGCAGACATGGCTTGGCTGCAGGAGCATAGGCAAAGCTGACAGAGAGCAGCCCTGGGGCCATCCAGCACCAGGTCCCTGTGAGCAGGGCGCGGGCTGCAGCAGCAGGCAGGGGTGCTGTCATTTCCCCACTTCTCCCTGTGAGCTCACCCTGGCTGATAGCATTGTGCTGCCCTGGCTTGATCTTCCAGGGGTTTTTCTTTCAAGTCTGCCTATTCCTGTTAGGCAGAGATAAGTCAGGACTCCTGTTGAGTCTAAAGAAGGCTTTTGTACCAGCATCAGCCTGCGGCGTGGGGTGCCAAAAGTCAGTCTGATATTATGGGTAAAAAGGAATTTCCTTGTATTAGTTTGGAAATGCCACACTCGTTGCAGACAGAGGAATGTAGCGATGGCATAAGAGGCAGCCAGGAAGCAGCAAGTGGAGGGAGGGGGGCATGCGAGATTAATTTTAAAGAGACAGGGTCAGAAGCCACCAGGGTCCCGCCCAAGATGTGGAGATGAAAGGCCTGAGAGAGAGGATGGGCAGGATGTGGAAGACACAGGCAGGACCTGGGGTAATGTAGGGAGCCATGGGAATCTGTCCGTGGGGTGGTCTTACAATGGGGGTGGGTGGCAGAATGGGTGGGACAGATGGGATTTGGGACAATGTGAGAAGCCTGGAGAGGCAGCAGGAACCCTCCGTGTCCTCCTGGGAGAGCATGGGGAAGCCCAGGGATACAGCCTGGGGATGTGCCAGGAACAAGGGGGAGGAAAGTGCAGGGGGACGGATGGTGGGACGTGTGCTGTGCCCACCTCCATCCCCACCAGCGGT